GCGCTTCGGACCACCTGTGGTCGCCGAGCCTCGTTAGGACGGCGCCGTTTGAGAACATCTGGAGGACTCTAACTCTAACGAGCGGCCACAGAGCGCCGTCGTAATGGCGCTCTGCTCTGAGCTCTTCCCGGGGAGAGGGAGAGGGGAGAAGAGACGGTCGGTCGAAAACCGGCACCCCACTGCGGCTCCGACCCGGCGCGGCCGACCGACCAGTGTCACAGACTGGCCCGCAGCCCCAAAATGCCCGGGAACGAAACGCCAAACGAGCCGTGAAATTGATAGATGACGCCACAGAAGATCGCGTCGACTTCTAATCAGTTTTGATCGGTATCGAATCATCTAGCGAAAAATACGCGGCCAATCGTTTTAGCGTTCAGTAGGAACGGTAAGATAAATGGATATTTTACGGTTTGGTAAACAATTTCAAGATTTATGGATTATGGGAAATATTCGATAAATGAAAGCGTAAATCAGCACAGCATATAACACCTTACGCACGGTGGGCTGATATCATAATGTCTAACAAATAGCTGAAACGTCTGAAAATTATTCTAATATTCCCAAATCATTATAAAAGAATGGAAGTGCTCCCACGCGTACTGAAATGATCGACAAGATTAGATTTTTTGTTGTCTCCTTTGAATATTCTATGTTTCCTTCTTCCAAAGCAAATGATATGCGTATTTTGGTACGACAGCCGCAATCTTTGCGCTACGGTCACAGCTCCAGCACTCGGCTTCCCTGCTCAGCATCCCGCTGCGTTCTCCGCTCGCCCGGTCCCGCTAGACTAAAGCTAGAGGAGCTCATCGAACGGCAGGCGATCCGAGCGATGATCGATCCTCTACACCTACCCGGCAGCTTGGCCTCACTTTTATGTACATATTTAAACCAGAAAAGACGATCTCTTCGCAACTTTGAATACCAAATGCGCCCGTTATCGGCTTAGGTTAGGATGTGTCAAACTCTGGAAGATATTTGTTTGTCGGCGTGTAGGCCGCAGGGGCTTTGCAAAATGCCGGTGACTTTGCACTAGATTTATGTTCCATGTGTAATTGTGGGAAGCCGCTTAGCGTCATTGGTAATGGTATATCAGTGGTTACATGGAGTCAGGTCAGAAATTCCCTGGGTCAGCTTAGAAGTCATTTCGGGTCAGATAGCTATGTCGGCCCAGGTCAGTTCAGCACAGGGCCTCGTCTAAGGAATTTTCACTGGGGGGGCCAGAGACTGAAGGAGGCAAATCTAGGGTACCCCCAAATCCTGTTTTCTCAACGGATTTAGACCACTTATTTTTCATCACAGCCCTGACACCATGAATATTTTTTTGAAAACAAAAAAAAAAGTAGTAGGACATCCGACTCATGCTTGTATATTAGTTTATAGCCTCCTCACATTGCCCCATCAGACAATAATAATCACACTTCTCGTTGTTGAGCGTGTGTTTGAGTGGCAGTGCCTTGTCTAAATTTGCATGCCGACTGCCGAGCCTTATGTCGAGGGCCCACACGTATATATATATATATTTTTTTTGCGAACCACATCGGTTTCTGATGGGCCCCTGTGAGCGCTCGATGCCGATCTCTGAGGGCTAATGCCAGCTTCTGGACCTACGTCGGCCTCTATGGTAGCCCACACCTGTTTTATATGATCCATACCAGGCTTTAACCCTATTAGTGGCAGGCTCCTGGCTACCCCCTATTAGTGGCAGGGGGGGGGGGCTGTTTACGACCCCCCCTTGATATCTCGAGATCTAACGGGCCGATTTTCAAAATTCAAACGGCATTCGATTTCGCTCAACGTGATCTACATTTCTAAAAAATAAAAATTAAAAAATGTCAATAGGGGGGTAGAGGGGGGTAAAAACGGGCAAATTGCAGATACATTTTAGACTGTTTATCACGGCCAGGTTTCTGAACCAATCTTAACGCAACTTTTGCCGATCGATAGAGAATGAACCAGGAATTCACATGGATCCTAAAAATATGCATTTTCAAAAATCATAGGCGGATACAGATCATTGAGATTGGGGGTGCACAAAAAGTATAGTAAATAAGGTTTTTGTTGGCACTGTTTCTAAAAAGGGTGGTAATGGTCTTGTTATGTTACAATTTTCTTATGAGAGAACGACTACAATTGTATTGGTCATGCATAGGCGGTGTCAGGGCACCTATGTTGGGAGGTAAAACATAACCCCCCTTTTTGGACGCCTGGATCCGCCTATTATAGCAAAAACGTGTCAAAAGAGGATGCACAATAACTGTATATGTTATCACATGATACCTTTCATTCACTGTTCGTAAAACTGGTGCAGCATCGTGATCTTCGCCCAAATGACTCGCTTCACGAATAGGACCCCCCAATTCCCAGTGCTCTGGAGCCGCCCCTGGTAAAGTTATGAACTTGAAATTTTCAGGGAATGTGCCCAATTTAGTTTTAGGAAAAGTCAGAAAATTTCAGCATCGTAGCTTCAGCGGTTTCGGAGATATTCCCGAAAAACCTGAGGGGTGGATAAAAACAACCCCCCCCCCCTGCCACTAATAGGGTTAAGGGTCAAGGTCAATCTTAGTGGAGACCGTATTTTTCCACTAGGGCCCTCTTAGACCAGTGTAATGCCTGTGTATCAACTTGGAGACTGATGGCTTCTCAGGTGGATTCTCCGTAATCGCCGTGGATCTTCGACAGAGGCTATACCTAAACTAAACAAAAATGAAGATAGTAGTGCTTTGAGGCCCGTTGGGACCCTAAGTGGCTGGCATTTGCCCTCCAGGACTCCATGCCGACTTTTTTAGATAATCCAGCTGTCAGAGTTCCCGTCCCCACAGACAGACCACCAATCTGGCATCTGCGCCTACGTACGACCACCCAAAATGGGAGCCTGCTTCATTACGATTAGGAGCTACTCTAGCCGCACACCGGTGACCGTCCAGCCAGAAGTTGGACGCCGCATAGCGAGGTCGACGATAGGCAAAAGCAAGAGATTGACGCCCCGAGGACAGAAACAACAGATTGATACCTAAAGGAGAAATTTTTGCAGGTAGAGCCTTGGACTCCGCGTGGTGAGAGCATGCGTCCCGGTTATAACAGTCCGGGTTCGAAGCGCGACACCGCTGAATCTTTATGAGCCTCCTGTCGAGTATGGTTACGGTTGGTGGCAGGCCGTAGCCATTCGAAGTCAGTGAGGGGACCGGCCGTGCGCGGCTATGTGCATACGTTAAACTTTGGGCTCTAAATTCTGCCATAGATCACGAATTGCGCGATCGGAGGGTAGAGGGCAGGGCCAACGCAAAGCTCTGCTTAGCGGGGGCTCTGTACTTGTGAATCCTTCCATTCAAAAGGTTCAGACTAAATTAATGAAAAAAGAATATCCGGGACACGGAGTTGGGCGCATGAAAAGACGAAATGTAACGTATTGCTGAGCGAAAAAATGGTTCAGGTAAACAAAATAAACACATAACAGCCCTAGGTAATGGGGTATTTCAATGTGCTCACATTGCATCGCCTCGTTTACGCATTTGTTTTTATGTGCACTGACGCCTCGAAATAAAAATTCGTTTCCCTCTTGGCTATTGCCGGCCCCCCAGTAGTGACTTTTTGCCCTGACTGGGGGGGCCAGGTCGATGACTGCGGGGGTTTGGCCCCCCCCAGTTAACATGTTAGACGAGGCCTTGGTTCAGCACCTACTAAAGAGTGTCTTTTGCGTTCATTTGATTCTGAGGCTAGCTTGTTGCAATCCGCAGCAGTTTTCGCAGTAGGTAGGTAATCAGGGCTCGAGGCCCGAATGACGCAATTTATCAGTTTATTAGAGTTAGTTGACCAATAAGACATTCATTGTTTGTGTTTCTGTATTTGATTTTTGGCCCCTTTATGGCTGCTTGTGTGTCCGGCCATCCGTTCGTCCGGCCATCAATCTGCCAGTTTTCTCGCGGTGTCTCGCATTATATGCATTACATATTCTCCTACCCATAATAAATAGCGTCATTACTGGCCATGTCTCATTTTTGGCCATTTTGGCCATTCTCAACCTGAGATGCGTGTATAGCCGGCTGGAGCATTGTAAACACTAAACGACCGTATGTTTAGAAACAGCTCGTTTTGTGCCGTGTGCTACTGAGTCTTAAACGGTTTCGATCATGTGGGCGCGTGTACCAGGATGAACGTTACCGGGATGAACGTTACCTATTGATTTCTTCTGGAGCCGATGGAGTGCAGGCAGCGCTGGGAGTACTTATATATTTACGTCAATGCCACCACACACGATATTAAATAAATGAACGCGACAGAAAATGTTGCGAATATATCAGGAGCTTGGTCTGCAGACAATGGACAATGAGCCGATGACTTTTCAAGTAATTTGGAGTTATATGACACAGTATTAAGCTAGTTTTCTTTATCTCATGTTCATTGAACAGGGAATATGCAAACACATGCGCTTAGAAATGTTAAGATATAACTGGTTTTTCCTCTCGGTGCGTCAAGATAATGAGTTTTCTGCATTGGCATACGTAAGCATCAATAGGGTAACATGTTGATGCATTTTATTTGTTTCTGTTTTCCCGTAATTAACTACCTACTTGTGGACTCACTTATATGCGACCTACAAATAGAAACATGTATCCTCATTCCTACATCCTGCAGTATGCTGCACTAATACGCGCCCCTGATGTCCCCTGCAGGATGACACATGCTGATAACGTGAATATACAGCCTACACATGCGACCAATAACATGCCCAGCTAATACGCACCCCTGGTGTACCCCTGCAGGGCGACACGTGCTACTGGATGTGTATGTTCCGCTAATATGCACCCCTGGTGTACCCCTGCAGGTACTGCTGGATGTGTATGTCTCGCTAATATGCACCCCTGGTGTACCCCTGCAGGGCGACACGTGCTGCTGGATGTGTATGTCCCGCTAATATGCACCCCTGGTGTACCCCTGCAGGGCGACACGTGCTGCTGGATGTGTATGTCCCGCTAATACACACCCCTGGTGTACCCCTGCAGGGCGACACGTGCTGCTGGATGTGTGACAAGTGTGAGCCGTTCGAGTTCATGAAGGACGAACACACGTGCGAGGACTGTGGTCACGGCCGGTGGCCCTACCCCGACAAGCTCTCCTGCTACGATCTCGAGGTGCAGTACATGAAGTGGACCTCGCCGCTGGCCATCGGGCCCATCGCCATCGCAGTCATCGGAATAGTGGTAAGTTGGCTGACTGAAGCACCAATCGTGACATCGCGTACACCATTTCGGTTAGTTCTTGGTCATCAATATTGTATGTTTTCACTTAAGCAAGCTGTGAAGCATTGCTGGTGAAACTGTATCAGGACGTATAGGTTTCCCTGGCATAATATACGCATGGAACGAATTTGATAGTTGCGGGACCAGCCTTCATCAACTTAAGTCTGTTATTTTGTTGCAGCTTACTGTGGCGGTCATTTTGGTATTTTTGCGTCGGGACGACACTCCAATCGTGAAGGCGTCTGGCCGCGAGCTGAGCTACATGCTGCTGGCCGGCATCCTCATCTGCTACCTCAACACGTTCCTGCTGCTCACCAAGCCCAGTCCGGCCGCCTGCGCCCTGCAGCGAGTCGGCGTCGGGCTCGGCTTCGCCTTCATCTACAGCGCCCTCTTCACCAAGACCAACCGGATCTCGCGCATCTTCGACTCGGCGTCGCGGTCTGCCAAGCGTCCGAGCTTCATCAGTCCCAAGTCCCAGATCGTGATCACGACGCTGCTCATCTCCGTGCAGCTGCTGGCCACGGCCGTGTGGCTGCTGGTCGAGCTGCCCGGCGTGCGCTACGACTACCCGGACCGCGGCCAGGTCATCCTCAAGTGCCGCATCAAGGACTCGTCGTTCCTGGTGTCGCTCGTCTACAACATGGTGCTGATCGTCGTGTGCACCGTGTACGCCGTCAAGGCGCGCAAGGTGCCCGAGAACTTCAACGAGACCAAGTTCATCGCCTTCACCATGTACACGACGTGCATCATCTGGCTGGCGTTTGTGCCCATCTACTTCGGCACAGGAAATTCGTTCGAGGTGAGTCGGGGTCATCGATGATCGATGGATCGGTGTTTTCAGTGGACTAGACTGTTCCATCACTTGGTCGTGCTGACCGAAACTCAGGAAATAATGGATGACACTATCGGACGGTATGCGCCGAGGTCGTAACACAGTACCGTGAAGCGGGAGCGTATTATACTGACTGAAACACTGGCACGCTCAGGCGTTGTGACATGCACGACTGGAAGGTACTAACACGCCCCTTCATTATTCGCTGTTGACGTGCCGTAGTATGGTGGTATAATGCCACTGTACAATGCGAGGATGCAGCAGGGCTCTTTGTCATGCTCTTTGATAAACGAGGATAGGTCAAATAAGGGAAAGCGGAAAAAGTCAGCTATTGAGCTTGGTAGCCATTAAAGTTTACGACTATGACCGCCAATGAACGAAGGATCTGCCTCGGCACGTGAGGCTTTCAGCACATTTTTGGATAACACGACCATTTGACCGTAAAACACCTGCAAAACAGCGTAATAGAGTCGTTTTTGCATCTTTTTTTCGTTTTTATTGTTTGCTTGCACTAGTTGATCACGTCTCAGCCATAAATGAGAGCGAACTTTAGGTTGTTATCTGTGTTGTTTGAGCTAACTTTCCAGTACTTTCCGTGTGACTTCGTAATCGTTTCTAGAGCTGGAGATTCTTGAAGCTGATTGCAAAACAATGTTGATCCCACCGGTCCTCAAACAAAACTCCGCGCGTGTTTCAGGTTCAGATCACCACGCTGTGCGTGGCCATCAGTCTGTCGGCCTCGGTGGCGCTCATCTGCCTGTACGCGCCAAAGGTCTACATCATCGTCTTCCACCCGGAGAAGAACGTGCGGAAGCTGACGATGAACAGCGCAGCTTACAGAAGAGCCGTCTCCAGCTCGGCAGCGCCCTCCTTCAACCACGGTGAGCGCTGCAGATGTGACTAGACAGTACGCTTGAATAGAGCAGCGCGGACTTTTCGTGACGGATATCAGTCTCTGGTATGTTATGTGTTTTCTATAGCTGTAAAAATACACTGAAAGGTTCATTCTAGGAAATTATGCTTGGTAGTAAACATTTGAATTTTGTGTACCTTTGTATGATATTAATTTTACGTTACGAAGGTTAAAGGTAGTGTGCCAGCTTTCTTGGACCGTATGGAGTTAATGGCCCAGATAAGGAGAACCGGATTTTTAGAACTTATCCATACCTTCAAAACTCATGGAAACGTCTTAAATTCTTCAAATTTTGAGTACCCCAGTGCGAAATTCGCCCCGACGGGTTGTCGGTCGTACCCCAACCACATTTCACACCACTATGAACAATAAATGCACACACTGAAATCGCTATTACCGATATGCTCATCCAATCAAGTTTCGATAAACCCGTTCATCATCATCTCCTGCGGTTTCGAACACGCCTGTTAGGTGGCTTCTGATGCTCGTCGAGGTCGGAATTTCCAAATACGCGTGGTGCGTCGGGCCGCGCGCTCTGACTTCGGCCAAGAAAAATGCGTCAGCTGATCATTGTCATTTCTGCCACTTGCGTGTGGTGAAATGGGGTCATAACTTATAAGACGGCTTTTTCATATCAATTATTTTACATAAAATCATATTTCAAACCATAAATAATGTTCGACAGCCAAATAAAAGAAACAATACAATACGGGCTTACAGTTTAAGGCTCGACATTGTGTTGTCTACGATTAGACAGCTGATAACTCATTCCCGTACGTCGTATGGTCGTAACACTATAATGACCTTTGCTTATTGTCACAAGTGCGCCGCATTCGCGATTGTTGCCCGACGCCTGTTTGCAGGTGAGCCCACTACAGTTGTTATACATATCTAAAAACCGATAAACTTTTAGGCGAAAAAGGCACTATTCCAGGCCCATTTTTGATTTTTTTTTGCGATATTAGGTAAAAACAGAAGCTTCTTATCCTAGGAAAAATAAAATGGGAAATCTTTCAAAGGTGGCACACTACCTTTAACAGAAAATCAGCATAAATTGCATCAAAACCTTACTATTTTGTTGTATTGTATACAATACAATACAAAATAGTAAGGTCTTATAATCCCTGACTCTCTTAAATCTTAATTTGCTTTACTCACAAAGTAAAGCAAATTAAGATTGTTTCACCGGCTTTGGTTATCAAGTTTTATGAAATGTACATTTGAGCTAGCATTTCACATATGTGCAGCCAAATCGTGTGCAGCTAAACCTTAGCCCTAAACAGATAAGCGATTTCAATTTGGAGCTGCGTTTTTTAAGAGACCTTTTACTGCAATGAAGTGAGATGCTAGCACTAAAAGAGGTAAATGGACACGGAGACGTAAGAGACACATTGCTTGTGCGCTGCATCTGAAATGAGGCAGCTGTCCGAACAACTTTGACAATATGTTCGTCAGGGTATTTAAAATGGAACTAAAACGGTGCAGCTACTGTGATTTCATGCTCCTGAACCCACTCCGACTGGGTGCAAGTATCTGTGTGGAATGCGGATGGATGCATTTGTCCAGCATGTGTGTATAGATAGGCACACATGTGTTTAATTGGATGCTGAGGCCAAAGCTTTAACCCTCGCCGGACCTATTGGTTTTCTACATACGCGCCGGCCGAGGGGGGGGGGCGGGTAAGACCCCCCCTCGCCGTTTCGCCCCTGGTGGAGCTAGCGCGTCGCGGAAAAAACGAGCGTGTGCGCCGTTACGAGACGCAGAGATTGGTACCCGATTTTAAGGTCCTAGGTCAACCGGTGACCTCTGAGGTCAGGTCAAGTGCCCCAAGGTACGGTTCAGTTTTTGGTGAATAACTTCGCAAAAAACGGCCGCAGAGCGCCGATTTTGGCAGCATCGTGTTCGTCTCGCTCAGGCGCGTCGAATGATATACTTTTTGTCCGGGTCAGGTCAACTTGGGGTGTTGACCTCGGGTCAAGGTCAGGTCAGCACCCCCAGGTCACGACGTTGGTCAAAAGAGGTCATGTCGCATATCATTCGATTTGGCAGGTCTTCCTGAGTCCATTGGTGGCTTTCCCGACTCGCTAGCTCCATTTGATCAAGAGTTATTGACGAAAAACTAATATGACCTTGATGACGTCATAAATGACGTCACGCAAGGTCAACATTGCAAAAATGACGCATTTAACCTTGCAAGGAGTGCATCAAATCACGATTCTGTGTGCTTGAGATAGTTGGAGATCGTTCCCGGCGCCAGAATAGCAGTTTGAATTTTTCCCCATCGACTTATAATGGTGAGGTCACGAAAATGACCTGACCTCATATGACCTTTAGGAAAAATCCGAGATATACAAGTTGTGGGACTTATAATGGATACTAGATCCTGCAAGTTTCATTTCCCTGTGACATCTCCTCTGGCAGTGAGGGCGTTGCGAAGTTGCGACATCTGAAGACCGTGCAGAGGTTCACTTATGACGTCATAGGTCAGTGACCTGACCTGACCCAAAAATGCGGTTGGTGTCAAAAGATCCGGCTTGGATCAAAGGTCAGGTATGCCAAGTTTCAGCTCTCTATCCCCGGCGTGTTCGGAGCTATCGCGAAAAAACCCTATGGGGGGGGGGCGGCACCCCCCCTCGGCCGGCGAGGGTTAACTTCTGACAGATAAACGTGCTAACTTTATATACAATTTTTCCTGACAGAAATGAAGAGTGGTACAGTATAATGCAAAATGGAAACGGACAGTACAAAATCATGCCTTCGGTGTATACAAAGACAAGGCGTAAGTGAAGTTAAAGCCCTTCCGAATTCATAAAGTTAACCCGCGCCCAAGTGTGTGTGTGTGTGGGGGGGGGGGGGGGTGTTTGAACACCCCCCGTGCGGTTTTTCGCAGATATCTCAAAAACGCCGTTTTTGGTACAACTTATCATACATCAATTCTACACATGTTGTGAAAATTTCAGACCAAGGTCATTCAAGGTCAGGTCACCAGGTCACTTGAAGTGACCTCACCTCATAAAAAGTTTCAATGTCTGCCATAGCTAGACCGAGTGACCGATCACTTTGAAACTTTCAGCGATTAATGAGGGTAACAGCATCTATAAAATGTATATCTCGGAATTTTGATATCGGTGACCTAAGGTCAGGTCAATTTTGCGGCCTCTCCATTATAAGTCAACGGGAGAAAATTGAAAAGCGTCTGTTTTGCACGAACGCTATTCTAGACACTCTCAAACATCGAGATGTAGGTAAAATTGACACACTGAACCGGAAAATGGCAACTGTGACCCCTCGTTATGTCCCCGAGGTCATCTCAGGTCACGAACAGAATCTAATAGTTCTTCGCTAATAATTTTTGATAGAGGCGTGCTAGAGCGCTGAAAACGCCTTAGATGTGTTCGGCTCGACGTTGCGGATCGACTGATATGCAACATGACCTTTTCCGGTCAGACCTTGACCTGAGGTCAAATTTTCAAGTTGACCTTTTAAGGTCAACTTATAGTTCATTCGACGCGTCTCGACGAGAGGAACACGATGCTGGCAAAAGTAATGTCATGGCTCTTTTGAGTCAAAAGTTATCGCCGAAAAACCAATTTTCGTAAAAATGGCTATTTTTGGAGTTTTTGCCCTCTGGAGGCTAAACTGTTGACCTGAGGTCAAATCTGAGAGCATTATTCAGAAAGGTCTGTAAAAGGGCTATCGAATGCGCTTTTCCGCGGCGCTGTAGCTCTATCGGTTCCCGAGATAGTCGTTGGCAGTTTCCAAAATGTTGAAATAGTCAACATTCTACCTTTGGTGACCTCTGGTGACCTGACCTTTGACCTGACCCAAAAATGACCGAGGTGTTTTCGTCCTTATTTTTGACGTTCTTTCGACTGCCGCTTACCGTGTGTCGCTACGTGGCCTAGGAGCCGAGTTAGAAAGGGGGGTGCTCAAACACCCCCCCCCCCCCCCCCACACACACACACCAGGTCGTGGAAAATCCAGACTGACACTGGGGCGCGGGTTAACGTGTGGTTATACAGCCTACAGGTAGCATGAAAATATGGTGTGGGCGTACATACCGTGCAGTACTTAAGGCTTAACACGCGCACTGCAGGGGGGGGGGGTTGTTTTCAACCCCCCCCCTGTGGTTTTTCGCAAATTGCGAGAAAACGGCGGCGCGTAGCGCCGCCAAATTTTGCATACCTGTTCTCACAACTTTTCCACACCTTGAGTAAAAATTTTGACCCCAGGTGACCTATGGTCAGGTCACCAGGTCAGGTCAAGTGACCCTACCTCGAAACGTAAATTTCGAAGTTTGCAATCCCACCAAGCCCACAGTTGTTGAGATATGATCTTGAAACCCACAGGAAATAGTAAAGTCATCACGAGCTACAACTTGTATATCTCGGAATTTTTATATCGATGACCTAAGGTCAGGTCATTTTTGCGACCGGCCCATTATAAGTCAATGGGAGAAATTTCAACTTACTCTGAATGCCATCCTATGACTTCAATACGCTCAGGATCATAGTATTACAGGTCCCTGTTGGTGATTTCACCGAAACATATCACTTATGACCTTTGGAAGGTGATCTCCAGGTCATCTTAGGTCACCTGAGGTCACCAGCGGTTTTTCTTCAATAACTTGAGATTGAGTAGAGATAGAGACTCCGTTCGACGTTTATCGTGTTTTTCTCGTCAATGCGGATCGAATGATATGCAACATGACCTATTTCGGTCAGGTCATGACCTTGACCTGAGGTCAAATTTTCAACTTGACCTTTCGAGGTCATATTATATATCATTCGATGCGCCTTGACGAGCTAAGAACGATGGCGTTCGAATCGATCCTCTGTCTTGTGTGCAAGACAAGTTATTCAAGAAAAACTACCGCGAAATTCCTGTTGTGAAAATCGTAACATTTTGTCTTCGGTGACCTCTGGTGACCTCGTTTTTGACCTGACCCAAAAATGATCTTAGTATTTC